GGGTTGCGAGTTTGCGTACATTGCCTTTGTCCATATTTGGATGCTTACACCTTGCATCAAAGTTGTGGAAATTAATTGCGGAATTTGCCAGAGAATTTACACGATGTGTATCAACTGCTGTTGCACGCCATGTTTTGAGGCCATTGGTGGTATATTCCATCATTTTAAAAAATGATCAGATGAACTAGATTGCAACTTTTTTCAAGAGACTAAATATATTCGTTGCTCTGTTGAGCAGATTCTTGCTTTATTTTATAAATTATATGTCAAACCAACTGTGATATTAAAAGTCTGTTCTGATTTTACAGTGAATGCTGTAAAAATAATAATATTAAACATTTTATTTTACAGTAGTACGGTCTTCATTCTTTATTTTATAGAAGGGAAAGATTAATTGTCTTTTTTCAAATTTATTTAATGTAAACCCCTGAAAATTGAAGGTTTTCCAAGTTGCGATTAAATTTTTTGCAATGCTAATTCTGACAATTTACAAACAAAAGAAGTAAGACTAGCATTCTCATTAAAATAAGATGTTAGATCCATTCGCATACTCGCTACACTAACATCTAATAACATTCCATTGAGGGTCACGTCAGAGGTCAAATTCTATCAACCAATCAAACCGTCGCCTGCAAAATCATCGTATAGTGTTGAAGCAAATAAGTCTAGAGCTGTTCCGAATTTGACCTCTGATGTGACCCTCTATGAGAGTGCTAGTGTAAGGTGTATGCGAGCAGATCTAACATCTCATTTTAATTAGGTTGTAAGACTATGAACAGCGCTCGGGCAATGTTTTTGAAGTAATTTTTTGAAGCAGAGATTTCAGCAGATTGATTCTTCTTTACTGCTAAAGACAAGCTACACAAGAACAACCCCCACCCCCACCCCGGTCAGATTTTTTTTTTAAAAAATGAAAGTACGAACTGAACGAGCATATTTAAAATACCGAATATTTGAATATAATCATAGCTAATGTTAGGAAACTTAATGCTCGTTATCAATACACAGAGAAGGCAGTCAAAACAAAATGCTTATGGGATCAAATTAAAAGTAAAAAATGTTATATTCATTTGTGGTGTGTAGAGAATGTATTTTTAACGAGCCCCGAGGAAATGAGAGATGAAAATTTTACGTATCGCATGTGTACATTAAATATCCTCCCACAAACAAGAACAAGATTTTTTTCAAAACACTTTGATTCTATTGATATGAAAGTGACACGATGTGGAGTTACAATTAATGTTTAAAATATTTACAGGTACGAGAATTTCAAAAACGCTCTGCCAGGTCATTGACTCAGGTGAGCCATAGGGGCTTGTTCCCGGCGTGCAATAATTATTTTTTTTTAAATCATATACCGTAATAATAAAACTGTAGTTTTATTATTACGGTATATGATTTTTTTAGATAAATAATTATTACACGCCGGGAGCAAGCCCCTGTGGGTGAGCGTTAAGGCTGATGGGTCTCTTTTTCTCCATGTAGTTAAAGAGAGACAAACTCAAAAGTGCAGAAATTAAAATATCGGTTTATCATGTATTTCTCTCAGTTATATACTCGTAATTATGAACAATGCAGATATACATTAAGATCAACATTTTCTGTATCAACTTATACATGCAGTCATTATCGCCTGAAGTTGCGCAGTGGTTAGAGCGTTTGTTCTAGATAGGGTATCATTTCATTGCATGTTACTTGAAGACCGTCCTTCAGATGAGACTGTATACCGGTAAACAAGGACCGGTGTGGCAGGATGTGCTGGCACGAAAAGGATCGCTCACTGCTCAATGGCCCTGCTGAGTATTTAGTACTATTAATAGTCCTCCACCGGTCAGTGCATGGTGGCTTCTCCATATCAGTGAAATATTCTCGAGGAGGATGTTAAACAAAACAAAAAAGTAAATAAATACAAACCAACGCTAAGTTACTGTTCTCCAAAACTGAGCAATTTAGTTAATATATTGTTCATTTATGAAAGCAAAGAAGAGTTTATATGGAAGGGTGTTTAACAAAAAATCCGTTTGACTTACCTCTCTTTGTATGTCTCGATAACACATGGTTTGAAAACTATAGAAAAATCGCGGTTAAAAGCCACATCCACTGGTTATAGAAAGGTTAGTCATTCATTAGAAATTTTTTGTCCGACATTGAACATAACAAAAAAAACCCTGTATACTCTGTATTGTATATATGTCATGTGCAGTTTTTGCTGTGAATGTCAGTACATTTATTTCTATTAATTTTCGAAAGACGTGTACTCACTTTTTTTATAATTAAAAAATGTTTTTATAAATTTCTTTCTTAAGGGTGGGAACCTCTCCTAGGGAGGTCCTTGGTGAAAACAATTCGAATTTATTTTTTCTGTCAAATCTTGACTTCGATCTCGCCCTCGGCATGAGCGTTAAATCCTAGGAATAGTACTTAAAAGGATTAGATTCAATTTATTTGAAAACACACTTAAGATGTATACAATTTAACGAAATAAGATTGTCCCATGGCACATTCCTCAAACCTTGACAAAAAGTATTCAATTGTGCCCTTTGCAACTTTTACTTTAACATAGTAAAAAATGGTGTCGGACTATACAGCATTTCAAAAGTTTTAGATGGATATGAAAATATATGGCGGGATTAGAGATGAAAGGGGGTCGGGGAGATTCGGACCTTGAAATTTCTGGACTTATTTTTTAATGATAAAATATAGAAAAATGACCTTGGTCAACCTGCCAAGGAAACACAGATCTTTTAATCCACCCTACAACATATTGAATTATCTGCGTTGAGTTGAACCCCCCACCCCCACCCACCCATCCACCCCGAAGAAATCCACCCTGTAAAACTGTCACATTGAATTATGTTTTCCTTAATTCTACGCTATCAAATGTACATTGTTACATATTTTCAAAGGCAAATTTGGAATTCATCATTATGATAGTAACCATTCAGAAATGAATTTGTTCAAGTATAACTGCACAAAAAACAAACAAACAAACAAACAAAAAACAAAAAAAAAAAAACCAAAAAAAAACAAAAAAAAAAAAAAACAATTATTGTCTCGGTTTTCACTCGATCCGCCGTACTCGTATTCAGTAGAAAATTAAACTAACTAAATGACATAAACTTTACTTCATGTAGAAGAAGGTTAATTTCTTTATTTGACAACTTCATCTGTTCATTAAGTCGAAATATGTGACAAACTGTAATCAATTTCTGCATGCTCCGAGTCGCTTTTACATATAGATTTCAAGAAATAGCAATTCCTCAGGTCCCTGGGCCTATTAACTTTCAGAGCCGTTCAAGCACGGACAGGTTCGAGATGTTTAATTATTTACACCATGGCGAAAGTCAGATCAATTCAACACCTTTGCATTTTTCCGGTTATTAGTGACGTAACATATTTTGAAAGATAGACAAGAGGTAAATAAAGGGAGAAGTAAGAGAGAACGTTATATAAGATCGTTGTCTAGATTAAGGACTTTATGTGAGGGAGAGAAAGAGAGAGAGAAAAAGAGAGAGCGGCCGGGTGTTACATAAATATTAAAATGTCACTGCCAATGCCATAATTAAAGAGTAATACCACTAAGATGTCATAATTTAAAAAATATCAAGACTTTCCCATTCTTTTTAATGATAATTATGTCATTAAATTTTGAAATGATATCGACATATAACCTGTCAGACAAAAAAGTTTAGTCAAGATTTTTTTTTTAAATATGAAATTTCTCTTTAAAAAATTGTTTTGATAGATTCAAAAAAGTGAAATTTAAAGACTGTACAAATGTCCATCAGTCCTGGTGAATCTAATATAAAGGAACCGTAACATAGAATTACATTTCGCTCGGTCACTCAAAACTTGACGTGAATAGATCGATGTCAGGCAGTCGACAATGGACCAACAATTATAGAAATTGAATGAATTCAATCAATATCTAATTGGTGTTTAAACTTCAGCTTTCATGCCTTGTTTTTTGTTTTGTATTTCTAAAGAACTGGCCGTGAAATGTTCTCATTTTCATTTAAATGTATCTAACGATTTATTGCACAGGACAAACTTGTAACTAGGTACATACTATGCACCATACATGTACTTTATAGTGTTTGTTGCTTCAAGGAATTAATTTCTACCAATACTAGTTAAAATAGATAAAATACAGAGAGAGAGAGAGAAAGAGAGAGAGAGAGTACTTTTTTAAAGATACTTTTTATTCGTTTTTAGGCATTGATTGTACAGAGATGAAATATGATATGGGTTATTTTTAGCGATATAGTGTTGGTTTTTTGATTGCTGTAATGAATAAATAAAATTGATATTTAATAAAGTAAGAAAACGACATTCAGAAAAACCTTTATAGGAAAAGTACTGTATGTAAGTAAGAAAGATGATTTCGTGTATTTTATACAAAACACATCCCCAGGTCTTTCCAAATGATAAAAATATATAAATACTAGTAAATGAATTGTAAACTAATTCTCGTATTTAAAAAGAAATCTTCTCTTTGGATTTTACATGTAAGACATACTTTTGTCTATTCACATTGATTTAATCATATGAAAAAAAAATCCCTGGAATTTACACAGAACATGGAATATGTACAGTGTTTTGTATGTATACAATCTATACGTGCATATACTCAGATTAAATCAATACACTGTTTATAGTTACTAAAACCAGTTGTTTTTCTTTCTCATTTTATAAGTCCTTTTCCAACCAGAAATATTGACTTGCTATTGTAATTCACCCATTTAAAGATATAGAACAAGTTTTAACCTAAAGTGATCGATTCTTATTGACCCATCGCTTTCACATTACAGTTTCAATACAAACATCTTTTGTATCAATGACCACTAGACCTTAGAGTTGAATATTGGTTAAAATGTCTTGTTTTGATTGCTAAGGACAACAGAAGTAAACAAATACAGCGTATACTATAAACTTTTTTTGACCATTGCTTCATACGTTTCATTCCCAGTATCGCCCTGAGTACTCCAGCTGAACTACTGATCCGCGAAGACAGACGAAAAAGAAAATGGCGGATAAAACCGGAGAGATTGACTTGGTCAACCGAGACCCCAACGGACTGAACAGTCATCTAGGGGTAGGGGTTTTGTTTCAATAGAAGAAGAAATAATTGAAGATTAAAAATATATTTTTTAATTATATGTTAATTTATTTTAAAATTGAAAATTTTAAAGAAATATTTATTTTTGATATCTCATTTTCCTCTCCTATTAAATTAGACAAAGTTAGTGTAAAGTGTCTCGAATGATACACTGTACATGTTATTTTAACAAAAAGACTTTAATGAATATCTCTATTGAAAAAACAAACAAAACATTTCTTTCAAAGTAATATGGTTTTATGTTAATATAAATGTAATTATTATACATCATAAAATTTAGATGAAATGCCTTAAAAATAAGTCCGCTTTGAAAATTGATTATTAATATTAATTGTTATCAAGTTCCCCTGGAAACAGTGTATTGCAAAACATCCTATAATCGGGACAATGCCTTGATTTGAACCCTCATCAATTAGTTAATAATGGATGACCACATCAGACGAATAATGTCTGAATTTAATTATCTTTGTTGCATGCATATCCTCAAGTTTTAAGCATAAAAATGGCATAGCAGCAATTTTTTTCTCTCTCTTTACTGCTTTATTTCATATAATCCCATGTAAAAACATTTAACAAATATTAATATTGCACAGAAATTTTTTCACATTCATCCACTTTCACACTTCATTTTTTCACTTCACATAATCTAATTTTAGCCGTGTAAAACATTTTTTCTTAAAAATATATTTTATTCTCTTTTGTTAACTCTCAAACGTACTGGATGTGAATTAAATGTCTTGTTTTGCAGACGTTGCTCTTCAATGACGTCATCGGAGAACCAGATGGTACTCACAGTATTGACTGTTGCTTCAAACTCTCTAACACCTGCTTCGAACTCTGGAAAGGACTTTGTTATAAAATAATGACGTTTTGCTGTGGTTGCTGTATCGCCATGGAGTGGGGTTGCGAGTTTGCGTACATCGCTTTTGTCCATATTTGGATGCTTACCCCATGTTTCAAAGTTATTGAGATTAACTGCGGAGTTTGTCAGCGAATGTACACGATGTGTATCAACTGCTGTTGTACACCGTGTTATGAGTCTATTGGTGGAATATTCCATCATTTTAAAAGAACTTGATTAATTGTTTAATTCGCCCAGTCACGATGTGTGTAACTATGAAGAAGTAACAATCTAGTCTAGCTGCTATTTTCCTCGAACGTTCGTGCTCATGGCTGTGATTAATAAGAAGTGACACTTTTTGTATGTTTTGTTATGAAATAATTTAAATTGCGCAAATACAACTTTGTTGAATGTCAATATATTGCATCTACTTTTGCATTTCAATAAAGTATCCCATTGTTTGCAAGTCTTGTTTTATTGTCTTAAGTATCACAATGCAATGCATATACTTTGTACAGTCATATGTGGAACGAAAAAAAAACAATGTCGATCTGCGTGCGCATGTAATTAGTGAAATGATTAATGAATTGCAGGTCATTTTTATTGAAAGAAATGCTTTGATTCAAAGTTTCAAAGCCTTTAAAACTCATCACTTTTTAAACTTATAAACAATATGATAGCAGTATACACGTACAAAAGTCGAAATGGTCAAATTGAGATATATACCTGTAGCATGAAAGCATGCGCATGGATGTGTACTGCTTTTGTCTTTTGACAAAATACTTTGCAATTTGATATTAAACATTTTATTTGAGGCTTAACAATTACATGCTCTGTATGCAAAAATTTTGGAAGACACGCGCGAGCACGTTCACTGAAATTAGATTGGTTAAAAGTATTAGCCTAACGAAAGTTCTTAATTTTCATTAAAACAGTACAAATTTCTAAATAGGTGATACATGTACATGTATATAATTGCATGGAAAAACATATATGAATATATTTTGAATTCAGATGAACTAATATGTATCACCAAATACTTATAGGAGTATCTCTTTCATTTTTTAGCACATACATGTACATATAGGTACATGTATATTTTTTGTAATTATTGGTAGACACGGAGAAATGACAAAGATAAAAAAAGTAAGAGTATCCGATTTGCTAATATCGACATTATTTTCCGATGAAATACTGAAAAATAATAATAAAGTGTGATATAGATCTACAAAACATAAGTCCTTCCTATAACATATTAAAGTTTGTAAGGAATGAGGCCCCAGAAGAAAGGACGAAGCTCTACTTGAATCATACTATTTATACGTTTTCTGGTCTATTGTTCAACATGACTCTTGACTGTCTCCGCAAATCCCCAACGATGATCTGGAATCTCTTGATGAAGTGAAGACATATATACTGATTTACAATGATTGCATTGACCTGCATATTACATTTACAAAAAAAGACATGTCTGCATATTACATGCACAAATAAGACTTATGTCTGCATATTATATGTACAAATAATAAGACTTTGATTTCCGAACGATACTTAAAAGCATGCATTAAAAAATACAAACAAAAGGTTTTTTGGTTCCAATTTTATTTTGTGGATCCCCGGGATGAAAGATATACCCAGGTATGTTTAAGCATTGGCGTCGGAAGCAAACTGAAAGTGGGGGCGGGGGCTAAACCAACAAAAAAGGTAGACCCCAAATTTCAATGCCTGTATTATGTATATATTTGCAAAAAAGGGAGGGGGGTTAAGCCCCCATCCATAGTTCCAGCTTCCTACGCCTTTGTTTAGCAAATACCCTTTAACGTACAAATATAAAACTAACCAGTTACAAGTAGGGAACCATGGTAAAATTCACTACTATAGAAGCTAAATACAAAGAATGTTTGAAAAATACACACTGACTGTCACAGTTGGCCACGTTCATAAGGACATAATCGATGAGGGAATGAAAAAAAAATATATGATGTACAAAAATTCCTGAAATATTAATAATTTTATTGGTACATGTAAATATGTATTTTTTCATTTTTCTACAAGGAAAAAAAGACAATATTGATAATTTGTTCGAGTTTTAAAAGAATCTGAATGAATATCTTTTCAGATTCAATCTAATTCATAGTAAAAACGAACAATGCAAAGATAGCTTACTCCAGTCTTTAAACAAATACAATTACAGAAAAAAGAACGAATACTTGGACATCCTTTATCTAAATTTAAATTCTATTTTCTATTTGCCTTGGGGATCGAAAATGGCATTTAACTGCAATAATGGTTGTTAGGGGTTAAACAAACTGTCATGCATGCGTATCAGAGATTTATTGAAGTGACCAATGGTAAAGAAAAGGAAAAAAAATAATAAAACAATCCCGAGTCAATACTTGGATCTGTTCGTACTGATCAGAAGAAATACGTGGGGGTATATTTTGTATAGCCTTGGACACCAGCCACCACAACAATCTGAACAGTCCACCCTGTCAAATCTCAATCACAGTTTTCGTTAAAAGAATAAAAAAAATAAAAATGGTTGACAAAACTGGAGAGATCGATTTGGAAAACAGGGATCCTAATGGACTGAATTCTCATCTGGGGGTAAGCAGTTGTTTGTATGTTTTTTTTTCTTTTACAAATGTTTAATTTTATTATGCAAACAGTAGTTAAATGAAATTAATTCATCTACAGCATATTTACACGTTATCCGGATTAAATTTAAATTCCAAATAAATATAAATGATCCCTTTTCCTGGATAAAATATCACAATACAGTAACTGTGTGAACTGACATTTACTAAAACAATGTAAAACTAATAGTAAATGAAGCATCATTGAATTTCAAGCAAATATGTATCTTATATTGAGTTATAATAGTTGTTGACAATTCCACAGGCTAACCGTCTGTAACTATAAACTTTAAGATGAGAATGCATCATAAAAATAGAATGATAGCTCAATCCTCACATTTTACGTAATGCCGCAATGAGGTCAACATTTAAGAAATAAGGTATCATTTTTTTAGTTTTATTGGAATGTAAAACGGGTTGACATCCCAATAAAAGTCAAAAAATGATACCTATTACTTATATTTACATTTGTGACTTATTCATACCTAAAATTTGCCTGATTGTGACTTTTAATGTGTGAAATGCATTATTTTTCAAACCCAACGGCATGTATGTAATCCACTGAACGCGCGTCGACCCTTTAGGACGTCACTGAGAAATTACGTCGAACGTTTATCCATACGCACATCTATGACCTCTTGACCCCGTACCTGTATTTATACAGTTATAAATACGCTTACTTTCAGTAGTGTTATATAAAGGAAAACATTTGCAAATGTAAATATTTTCAATTGTCAACGGAATTCGTTGACAGTGAGACAGATTATATATAATCTCTTTTTAGATTGTTTTGGATATTGTCTATTGGCTTAATTTATTTGTAATATTTGTAATGGATAATGATATTTGTAATATCCTCTCAATCTCAATGATTTGTTTTAGACACTTCTCTTCAATGACGTCTTCGGAGAACCAGATGGCACCCACAGTATCGACTGTTGCTTCAAACTTTCTAACACCTGCTTCGAGCTCTGGAAAGGACTTTGTTACAAATTACTGACCTTCTGCTGCAGTTGCTGTATAGCTATGGAGTGGGGTTGCGAGTTTGCGTACATCGCCTTTGTCCATATTTGGATGCTTACGCCATGCTTCAAAGTTATTGAGATTAACTGCGGAGTTTGCCAGCGAATGTACACGATGTGTATCAACTGCTGTTGTACACCATGTTATGAGTCTATTGGTGGAATATTCCATCATTTCAAAAGAACTTAGCCATAAGCTCTATTATGAATTTACTCGATCCATTAACGAGACTTTACAATTAAGAAATGTGATACTATTACTGCTAATTTCCAGAGCAAGACAGAAAAAAGACTTTGTACGTTTTTATTCAATAGAATAAAACTACTATTTATTTTGTTGCATTCTTGTTCCTATTTCTAATTATTGCCAACAAATGAACTATATTTCACTTTTTCATTTGAAGGGGTTGGGGTTGGGAGTGGGGAAGTTTTGAGTGACCTGTTAACATTTTTTTTAAAGAGTTTCATTGTTCTTTCACACAAATTACACTTGCTGACATTCTTTATTACAAAATCAATATTACTGATCCGACCTGACATATCAGGAACCAACATTGTCAGCTTAATTTTTGAATTGTACAATGTATTCTTTAGAATGCTTGAATTTGATTATGGACTCGCAAATTCAAATCAAATTATTTTTTCATTGTACAGTGTTTACTTTCAAATGCTGTAATTTGATTATGGATTCGAAAATTCAATTTACAACCATAGCTATATACCTTTTAAGGAGAAATGTTATTTCAAAATCTTAAGTCAGTTTTCAATATTTTAATTATTTCCATGATAACATGACTTTTCAAATATTATGCATATACTGGATTTTAACTAGATGAAAATCCTTACAAATAAATGTACATACAGTGTAGAGGGTTTCAGAATCTTCAAAACCTGTTTCTTTAATCATCACTAAAATACAAAAAAAAGTGACATTTGCTCACTAATGAAGAGAAACTCTAGGAGTAATGTACAATAGTGTTTGTGAGTGTTTGAGATATGGTATAAATCATATTTGGATACTTAACAACTCCAGCAAACTTTTAGACAGTTTGAGAAATCATAAAATGTTTATTCAACAACACCAAAAGGTACGATGTTTTAACACTTGTTAAAATCCTTTTTCTCCACGATCAAATAAGGTCCAGGGTTTTGAGATCATAGATAGATGCTTATTACTTAAAATTGACCTCACAAATTTACTTAATTGGGCAAAAGAAAACATTTGCCGTTGCAATAATTGATATATAAACTTGAAATAAATGATACCATCCAGATTGAATCATCTGTTTCATATTTTGATATCACTGCACATATCAGGTATCTAGAAGGTACCTAGTTCAAGTTTGATCAAACCATGACCACCGGGGCAAGGGTGGGCCATCATAGGTAATCAAAGACTTGAGAAGAATTACATAGAAAAAAAATCTTTAAAATTCTTCTTCTCAAGAACAGATAGGCTGTGTTTGTTCATTTTATATGGAAGCATCCTTGGGTAGTGTAGATTCAAGTTTGTTTTAATTCATGACCCTGGGAATAGAGTGGGGCCACAAAGGTTGATGAAGATTTTAAGTACCAGGAATACATAGAGAAAATCGTTAAAATTATTCACAAGAACAACAAAGCTATGATTTATCATCAATATAAAAGCACTAAAAAGGAAATATAAATTTGAAATTGTTCACTTCATGACCAATCAGGAGAATACAGGAGCAGTTATATTGAATCATAGCTATACAAAGGTATACAAAGGCTATTGAT